TACTTTTGAAAATAAGTAATCAGTAAAGTAACAGGATTACTTTTTGGGGGAAGTAATCAGTAATTAGTTACTGATTACTTTTTTCAAGTAACTTGACCAACACTGTTCATCAATAACCAATAATATGCAGCGGTGAGGAGATAAATTTGTTCTTTAACAGTCTGTTAATATTAGATGCACTCTGCTACTTCATGTAAGTTAAAGCACTATTTAGAAGCAGCAGGCTGTGTGGCCAAAGCTAGGCTAAGCAGTTAAGCCTTACCTGTGTCCTCATAAGGATTTACGGAAAACAATCCCGAATAAAGCTGAACAGAACTCCTATGTGCTAAGGTTTAACGTGTAGAGTAGTACTGAAGGGAAAGTTACAAGAAGATACTTTCAAGACCAGAAATACAGTATTTCAAAATAACAGCATGAGCCTATGCATCTTCATTTATGCAGCAGTTATCATTAAGATAACAGCTTTTAACCACAGCAGCCTCCAACAATGTGAGGAGAATCTACAGTAAACACAGCTGAAAATAACATTCACATTCAAAATAACATTCACTTTACCTTCATTGTGATGGTCTATAGCTGTGATTTCTCTCTTCAGCTCTGTCCTGTCAGAGCATGCGGCATCTCAGTCAAGTCCTAAGCAGGACTGAGTCAATCAGTGTGTGTACTACGGTGTGTAACTGCCAGCTAAATCCTATCTGAAAATGCTACTGCAAGTGTGACTGAAGAAAATTCAAAATCATATGATACAAAATGTCGAATAAATTCAATATACAGCTTGAATTTTCACTTAATAGATAAAATAATAAATCACTCGGTGTCTACATAACTAGCAACAGACCATTGGTTTAAGGGAAAAGAAGAAGTTAAACTAAATTAATTGAATCCATTTAACACTGCCTTGGTACTGCCAGGTTTTTGTTATTACTAAAGTTAAAAAGGACACATACCATAGACGTAAGACAGAAGAGTCAATTTTAATGTTAATTTTTAATAAAAATCACTTGGTCTCTATATCTGCTTTTTTAAACAAAACAATTTATAGTTTCTTTCCACACTCTGAATTCATAAGAAGAAACATGAGTCACACAGCAAACATGCAGTGAATAATAGTGTGGGCTAAGCCTGTAGTGGATAAGGTGGGTCAAACAGAAGCGAATACTATGAATGTCTTCTACATGCAACACAGTGTCTAATAATTACAAATGATTAGTATGCTCAGTTTTAAATAACCTCCTGTATTCCTTAAATGAAAAGTTGCAGCAAAGAACAATTAGCACACACAAATCACTACAAATATTCATCATGAATCATGCTATTAATGGTAGTAATATCCCCTTTAAACAGTAATCTGACAGAGGTTTGCTCAGCAGCATTACACACCCTCCCCTGGCTCTGTGTGGGTGACAGTAACTCTTGATCCATCCCATCTCACCACACACATCCATCCACAGTTTTCTGCAAGCAGCTTTTACACTGCGGACTTCATTAATGTGAGGAGATGGTGGAGAATGGTTACTTTATCCACACAGAGATGTGGAGTGTGGAAATGCCAGGAGACAAACCACAGTATAATCACTGCTTAATTAGACAATACAATAAAATAAAAATGCACAAAAAACATTCAGATTCTAATCAAACTACACTAAAGCAAATTACAAATGTTAGTTATCAGTGCTGCTGCCAGATTAATGATCATGTTGGTGCTGCTGATGGGGGGAATGGTGGTGGTGGTGATGAGAAGTAGAATCACCCTGATCCTGCTGATGTAGCGACTGATTCTGGTGACTGGAATGTTGATCGTGGTGGTGTTGATGAGAGGGGGGGTCATCATGATGATGGTCGTGGTGGTGGTGGTGGCGAGTCCCTCCAGAAGCTGTGTCTGCCACTTCTGAACCTTCGTCAACAAGCTGAGCTGTGCCATTCTTTCTGATGTTGTTACCACCGACAGATGAAGTAGAATTATGCTGGAAAAGAGGAATACACAGTCACACACACCATATTCATTATTCTTGAGTTAAAGCTGCATCACACTCACAATTGTCACATTTATTTCGGCCACTTGGGGGCAGCACATTGAAGTAATGGCACAACACTGATGTAGTAAAATGTTATCAACTTGCTATTAGCTATCATTAACATTAGCTAATGTTTCTGATTAATAATCTCTACCTTGTTTTTAGTCAGCCTCATTTCTGTGAAATGCTCTGCTGTTCTTAAAACCCAATTACTACTTTTTTCTGTTTTTTTTTTCAATCAAACTAGTTTTATTCCCAATATTTAGGGCCAACTAAAGACAACTCAACTAACTACAAGAGGCCAATCTACCAATAAATCCCAGTCAAGTTAATGTGAAGCTGACCAACAATTCCTTGCCAGTCCCTCACTATGAAAAGGAAACATTACAGAACATAAAAATATTGTGTAGTTTATCCATCCCTCCATCCATTCATTCATCCATCCATTCAGGCATCCATTCATCCACCAATCTAGTCATCCATCCATCCTTCCATCCTTTCATCCAACCATCCACCCATCTTTCCATCCATCCTTCCATCCATTCATCCATCCATCTAGTCATCCACCCATCCAGTCATCCATCTATCCATCCATTGATCCATCTATCTATCCTTCCATTCATTCATTCATTCATTCATTCCTCCATTCATCCAACGATCCATCCATCCATCCAACGATCCATCCATTCATCCTTCAGTTCATCCATCCATCCATCCATTCATTCATCCATCCATCCATTTATTAAACCATCCATCCATGCATTCATCCATCCATCCATACTTTCATTCATACATCTAACTATCATTCCATGAATTCATTCATCCATCCAGTCATCCAGCCATCCTTCCATGCATCCATTCATCCCAGATGTCATAGGATAAATGACGGGGTACGCCCAGGTCTGTTGATTAGTTCTGTGAACTATAACATTGGACTTCATTCATTTCGCACACATTTTTCCACTGATCACTCACAGTGCAGTTACAGATATTTTTCTGATAAGTTGCTCTGATTGCAGCCTCTACGAATGGGTGATGCAGAAAACTGTAAGGCATCACTATATGAAAGGTGAGGAGACCACACCTAGAGAAAATGAAGCAGAAAGAGAGGGAGAATTGAAACTCAAATTCATAACGTCCACATGATGCATACAAATATGACATGTGTGTGGAACTAAAAGGAAGAACAACTTTTTCCGTCTGCATGGGGTTTTATACATGTTCTCTCCTCTACTCCTTCATGTACACATCATACCATTATCTACATTACCCTGTTTTAAGTCCTGCTATCTATGTAACCGTTCACATGCATGATTTAAAGCAAAGTTCAAACATTTAAAGTGTTTTGCCCTAAATAAAATCAAAAATATGAGGTAAATGTCATGAGGGCAGGTTCATCTCACCTGTCATAAACCAGGAAGTCATCTTTGTCTCCATCCAGAGCCTCCCACACGTCATTTTGAAGAGGTTGCTGCTGAAACACGGGGACCCCGGTGGGAGCACTTCTCTTCAGCTCCCAATACATTGCTCTGGAATGAGCGTCACGCTCATTTACTATTATGAAAGACACCTCAGTCATGTTGCTGCGATTCAGCCTATCACGCAGGCCTCCAATTCTACGGATGAACAGATGGAAGAGAAGATAGAGAGCTGGGTATAATCTCACATCGCTGTTAATCTGGACAGTTGGAAAAGGTTTTTCTAGAATCACAGGACGTCAAAGCCTCGACTCAAGGAACACGGAGGGCTTGTCTGTCTTCAAGTTTTAAGAGAAAAAAATAAAAGGATGATAAATCTTTACTACACTAATTGTGCAGCAGAATCATGTTTAGAGGCTTATAAGAGGAATTCTGAGCAACTGTCTCTCCACAAGAACACCTTTTGTACATAGATCATGTTTGTTTTACATTTTTCTTAATTTTACTCTTCAAAATAAGACAAAAAAATCAGCTCGGATTATATGGTCTAATAATACATAATTCTTCTTATATTGTTAATATTAGTATACTGTAATGTTGTATCCGAGCAATTTCAGTAAACACATGAGAGATTTAAGGTCTGTATAAAGATGGTGTGGATTCCTTTTCTGTTTTTCCTTTAACAACATGCTATCTAGTAGTCTATTTAAAATGACTTTTTTTAAACTAAAATACAAATTTGAGGACTATCGGGAAATAGTGTTTCAGAAAATAACAAGACTATAGAGAAAATTGTATTATTAAGAAGCCAATAAAAAAATACATACAACTGGTTAATGGGTTTACTCTTCAAAATAAAACTTAAAAATAGGAGTTTTAACTATTACAACTTTCTTACTTGGATGCCTGCCTGAGGCAGAACTGTCAGGCAGCCTTCAGCAGCGCCACCACAGCCACGTTTCCCAACAGGTCTTGCATGGGTGCATATCCCTTAATGTCCCACTGGGGGGCAGGTTTGCAGATCCTGGAGGCATCATTGTCCCCCTCCACAATCAGAGTGCTGTGTGAGGCCCACAGCAGGCCTGGCAATGCTGCGAACAGCCACAGCGTCAAGAGAGAGCCCATTGTCTCTCCCTGGCAGCCTGGACTGTATCTACCTGACAAGAAAGACATTGTGCAATAATTGAAAAAACAAAAACAACAAATGTTTTGCACCTAATGTGAAGAAGTGAAGAGAAAAAATCTTTTCCAAGGCTTTGTGGCACAAAGTCAGGGAAAAGGAGATAGCACATGCAGACTAGGCAGTCTGGGGTTGTATCAGTAGCACTCAGTCTGATCCAAAAATAATTAAAAGAGCAAAACATCATTGTGTCTGTCTTTACATACGAAGATAATCTGCAAAAAGAGCCGGGGTAAACAGCGGGCACACAGAGGTATTTTGGGGCACATGGAGAACATGCAAGCATCAAAGCAAAGACAGACAGAGACAGACTCAGAGTGTACTGTCTCTCTGTTTCAACGTGATCTGGATCACTTTTGTTAGATAATTAAAGCCTTTTCGGGTCGCCATTTCTTTTCCTCTCCTAATTTAAATGTTTAGATGTATAACAAGTATTAAAGTGTACAAGACAGGAACAGATCTCTGTGGTTAAACTGCATTAGTTGGAATTCCACAAAATACACCCCTACAATAGTTAATATGTTTGACCTTCAGAACAAAAGACTTAAAGCCTTAAAAACAAACACTTTAAGCCCAAAAAGATGATCTTACCTTTTCTCTTTCTCTGTTCTGCGACCCACACATGCAGACAGTAAACCCCTGTTGTTTTTAAAGCCTTTGAGGCTGACTAGTACTTCCCCCAAATCAAACAGAGAGACAGAAGGAGAGGGGGGAGAGAGAGAGAGTGTATGTGTGAGAGAGAGAAACTAAACAAAGGACTTTATTTGAATGCAAGTAAATTTGAGTAAAATCACACTCTTTATTAATTTAATGGACTACCACAAAATTCTGGTTACCTTGTTGACTGAACAAGCAGTTATTGATTAGGTGGTTATAACTATTGAGTAGACCGAAATGAAACATGATATTCATGGTTCCTCGATTCCCTGCACATTTTTGGTAATTCGACTTCTAGGCTATAGCACGGACTCATCTAGGCTGTAGCACTATGTGAAGATCATGTGGTTTTGAGAAAAAATGTAAAAATAATATTTGGATAATTTAGATTTAGTTACGATGAGTGAGATTTAGTGCAGACTTTCCTTGAGAATGAAATCTACCCTTGGTGCTACATGTAAGACTATTATCCAAAGGTTTTTACTGAGCCCACTCTTACTCTTTAAAACCAAAAACATTACCACCCACCTCTGTTGTACTTTGTGTGTGGTGTTAAATATCAGATGTTAACTCCACATTGCACTATAAAAAGCTGGTGAACACAGTAAACATGCA